GTAACTTGTGGTAAATAACCAAGGGTTCTTGAAGAAATGTGCCTTATGTTGATGGGGAACAGATCTACTGCTAGGAGCACCTTAAGAAAATTCGGGGCATTTCTTGCATAAGAATCTGGATGGAAAGTGCATTAAACAGAACATTTTGGCCTTTGACCTTCCCTGGAGTTACTTTTGGGATCACTGGTCAAAGCTTTCAGAGATGTGCAGTTATTTCATATGCCAGTGTTTCCCCAAGTTCTGCCCTGCTCATATTACCATCACAATTTTTACCTTGTCAAAGTACCATGGTATTATTATTTTAGAAATACTTGTCTTTAAATTTTCTTATTTTCACTTAATATATTCAAAAAGATTTTTTATATCACTGCCATAAATGGAATGCCAACCTTACTTGCCATAAATAGGAAGACATTTTTTTAAAAAACTAAGTGTGTAATTATTAAATGTTTTAAAACCACAATGAGATGTCCCTTCACACCTATCAGAGTGGCTGTTATCAAAAAGACATGAGATAACAAGTGTTGTCGAGGGTATGGAGGAAAGGGAACCCTTGTGCACTGTTGGCGGGAATATAAATTTGTGAAGCCACTGTGGAGAACAGTATGGAGGTTCCTCAGAAAATTAAGAATAGAACTACTGTATGATCCAGCAATTCTGCTTCTGGTATATATCCAAAGGAAATGAAAATAAGATGTTAAAGAGAGAGCTGCACTCCCGTGTTCACTGCAATATTATTCATAATAGCCAAGATATGAAAACAACCTAAGTGTCTATCAATGGATAAAGAAGATGTGGAATATATATACAATGGAATATTATTCAGCCCCAAGAAAGAAGAAAATCCTGCCATTTTGAAAGCATGCATGGAGCTTGAGGACATTATGCTAAGTGAAGTAAGTCAGACAGAGGAAGACAAAACTGCATGGTATCACTTATATGTGGAATAAAAAAAAAAGTCAAACTCATAAAAACGAAGAGTAGAAAAGTGACTGACAGGTGCAAGAAACAGGGAGAGACTGGTAAAAGAGTATAAACTTTCGCCTGTATGGAGAATAAGGTCTGAGGATCTGATGTAAAACATGGTGTCTGTAGTTGATAACATTGTATTGTAAAATTGAAGTTGCTAAGAGAGTAGAACTTAAATGGTCTCACCAAAAAAAAAAAAGTTAAATATGTGAGGTGATGGATGTGTTAATGAACTAGATGGGGGAGAATCCTTTCACAATGTATATGTGTATCAAATCACCATAATGAACACTTTATATAACTTACAATTTTGTCAGTTATACCTCAATAAAGCTGGGGGGAAAAGGCTTTAAAAATGCCCCCTGCAAAAAAAAAAATCTTCCGTGTGCTACCCCAAATCACCAAACCAACTCAAACAAGCAAAAAACCCAAAGCACCACATGTTGGGAAAGATTGCCTTAAGCTATTTAAAAACTAACAATGTATCTGCTAGACCTTCTTTAAAGGGTTTTGCTGGCTATCTTGACACGTGTAATCAAGCAACAGATTATATCCTCAGCTCCATGACGTGCTTTTCTCTTCCATTTGGAGGCTGTAAAATTTAGTTCTCAGGCTCCTCGTAGCTCTGCCATTGATTGACGTGCTGTGTGATGCAGGACCTCGCTTCCCCCAGCCATTCACTGATCTGAATCACTGAGAAGTCAATATTCTCAGCTCTGTCAATGCCGATGGTTCTCCTCCCATATCATAGATTTCTGTTTAAAAAAATGATCTCATTTGGTGTTAGCAGTGCTAAATATTTGAGAATTCACTTGTATATTCTCTGGAAATATTTAGTCCCAGGTTTTCTCCTAGCTCTATTAAGAACGTTATGGGACCTCAGTTTCTCCTTCTGGAAAAGGAAGTTAACGCACTTACTAGTCAGCCTAGGGTAACTGAAGCATCATGGGCAGAAGAGTCCCTTTTTTTAAAAAAAATGTTATTTTATTTATTTATTTATTTTTGGCTGCGTTGGGTCTTCGTTGCTGCGTGCGGGCTTTCTCTAGTTGCGGTGAGCGGGGGCTACTCTTCGTTGCGGTGCACAGGCTTCTCATTGCAGTGGCTTCTCTTGTTGCAGAGCACGGGCTCTAGGCGCGCAGGCTTCAGTAGCTGTGGCACGCAGGCTCAGTAGTTGTGGCACACGGGCTTAGTTGCTCCGTGGCATGTGGGATCTTCCTGGACCAGGGCTCGAACCCGTGTACCCTGAATTGGCAGGCGGATTCTTAACCACTGCGCCACCAGGGAAGCCCCCCCTTTTTTTTTTTTGAAAAGAAAAAAGTATGCTGCCTGGTGAAGGAAGAACCAATCTATGTAACACCCAAACACCCAGACAGGCAGGAATTCTGGCAGCCCAGCCATCACATTTCCTCAGGGCTGTGTCCCGAGTGCCGTGGCAGGCCGAGTCAACAGGGCCTGTACGCTCCACACATTCAGTATTGTGGAGGAAAGACGATGGATAGCCACAAGTCAAGGCAGCATGTGGGAAACATACTCAAGCGCAGCTAGAAGGGGCCACACTCCACACCTTCAGCAGCCTGGTTAGCAGCGTGAGCTTGGGAGTTAGATCTGGTGCAACTGCGGGGGCTGCCAGGACCGTGAGCCATTTTCTCCAGCCCTGCCGAGCCCCAGTTTGCTCCTAATCTGGAAAATAAGGCGTACACAGTGGATTTGTATGTTACTTCAGTAGCACTTGAAAGAGTATAGGCTCTTTCAAGGCCCTTTCTTCTTCATGCATGTTTGGCCTGGAAGGGATGATGGGAGACCCAAGTCTTCTGTTTCCTCTGCTGGGTTCAATTGCCACCTGACTCTCATGTGAACTTCGAGTGTGTCCTAGTGTTTAAAGACTCAGGGCCGGGAATGCCCAGATGGTCCAGTGGTTAGAACTCTGCGCTTCTGCTGCCAGGGCCTGGTTTCAATCCATGGTCAGGATTATGCTCCACTTACATATGTTTATTATATGCTGTATATAATGCTATATGTTTATGCATATATAGTTATGTAGGTTTATGTACACAAAACCATGTACAATTTAAGGGATTTTCAAGGGCAATTCTGACCCTACCCAACATCTACCATATTCCTACTTCTACAGTCAGACCTCCACAGGAATTGTAACTTCATTGTAAGACCAGCTGACAGGACATCATGAGAATTCAATAGGAGAATGTATATAAACTTTTTAGCATAGTGCCTGACATATAGCTAATACTAAAGGTTAATAGAACCATGATTATAATGTTATTATTGTTTTCCATCCAGAGAGGGAAATATCAGCTGTAAGTGCCTACTGGTTATTGTTAATATAATTATCTAAGGAAAGAGAGACAGAAATCACTTCCCCTGGGGTTACTCAGTCTTCTCAGAGAAGTATGGGTATTTCAACTGATAGACACTGAGTCCAGGTGAAGGCCTCCAGGGTCCTGGTTCAGGAGTGGCCTGGAGCAGCAATGGGGAGGAGAACAGGCACTGAGTGTGCCAGGACTGGGGAGCAGTTTCCTTTGGTTGGCACATGAGAGCAGAGCCAGTGGATAAAATCTGGAAAAGTACCCTGGGGTTAGATGGCCTTGAATATCTAGACTTGATTCAGTTGGGAGTGGGGAGCCACTGATGATTTATGAGCGGGGAGAGATGCACAGGATATCTGAAGTGAAGGTTAGTGAAGTTAGAAAGTGAATGTTAGAAACATGGAAACCAGTTAGGAAGCTGTTACAAGGTGTTTGTGAGAAGTCTTTCTGAGCTCAAACGAGAGATGGCAGAAGGAATGGAAAAGATATTAGTTGATTCAGAGCGATTATAATCCTGTATATTTCCTGAGCAGATCTTGGATTTTTTATTGTTCTTTTTTGCTATAAATAGTTATATATTCTCATATTTTCAACCAATAACAAATTTTTAAAAATCCTTTTAAAGTATAAATATGTAATTTTGAAAGCTACAATAGGAATTCAAGTAATGACTTAACATTACTGAAGAATTTTACCAACCCCAGCACCGATGGCTGAATCCTGAGAATGCAAGTGGGAAGCCCATGGAAAAATCCCCAATGTGGGGACCATACTTGCCATATAACAATAAGAATATAACATATAACCTTGGCAGAGAAAAATACCATCATCTCAGATTACACTCCTAACTGAAACCAAATGAACATATTATCTGCTCCCAAATAATTTTGTAACGTGGTGAGGTAAAGGAGGAATAAAAGAATAATAAAATGAAGTTGCCTTGCAAATATGTTACAAGGGGTGAATGAATATTATTATTTACATTGTCTAAGTCATTTATTTGTTAGTGTTTAAGATATGCAGGTGTACGTACAAAATGCAGCACAATTTTTAAAGCAATTTTTTTCTTTAAAAACAAAAATTTATTTTTTGTAAAACTTGTATTGAAAATGCTACAGGTATGATTGCATCTGCCTAATAGTGTCAACCTGAGTATGGCCTTGGCTTCCTTCAAATAAATGTCTCCCCTCCCATTCAGAGTTAGAGAATATTATTGCATATCCAAATATATGATTTCCTACTAGTTTGTGGTATAGAATATTGTCATAGTGAAATGAACAGCACAACCTGTCCTTCCCTACAAAACTACTTCCATCCAGCACTGAGCCAGTCCACCATTTGAAATTTTTAGTGTTTGGCTTTCCAACTGTAATGTGAGCATATTAAATGGGGTGGTAGTTGTGGTGTCAATTTTTATAGAGTTTTGGGGGGAAATAGATCTTACATTCCTACAAAAAATGTTATAATTCCTGTGTAGGAATTCAAGGTGATGTTTTATTTAACAAAGGAGTCACTCATACAACTGAGAGATTACAGACTTTTACATTTGTATTTGATGTATGGGTTCTTTCAAAGACAACAAAATTCTCAGCTTATAACAGAATACCACATTTGTAATAAATCATTTTCCTGTTGCGGGCAATGGGGGTGTCTTAATTCCCATTTTTAAACTTATTCCCATGGTGTGCATTTTCATTTATTTTCCAGCCATGAAATGAGAAAAAAAATCAAAGTAAAAAGAATAAAGCCTAAGGTTGTATTGGGCTTTTTCCTTGAAAAGACCAAGGGGAGAAAATGGAACCTGATTAAGGGCCGCATATCAAGGTAAGATGAACAGAAATCCAAAATAAGCCAAATGACACTTCCTAAAACATAGAATTATTACATGATCCAGCAATTTCATTTCTGAGTGTATACCTAAAAGAATTGAAAGCAGAGATTCAAACAGGTATTTGTGCACCCATGTTCATGTTCACAATAACCAGTAAGTGGAAACAGTGTACATTTAATTAACAGACTAATGGATAAACCAAATGTGGTATGTACACACTATAGAATATTATTCAGCCTTAAAAGAAATGAAATTCTGACATACTCTAAACCTTGGATGAGCTTTGAGATATTCTAAGTGAAATAAGCCGGACGCAAAAGGACAAATGGGATACGAATCCATTTTTATCAGGTCTTTAGAGTGGTCAAATTCAGGCAGAAAGTAGAGTGGTGGTTTCCAGAGGCTGAGGGAGGGGTGAGTGGGGAGTTAGTGTTTAATGGGTACACAGTTTTGGTTGGGGGAGATGAAAACGTTCTAGAGATGGATGGTGGTAATGGTTGCATAGCAATGTGAATGTATCTACCAGAACTGGACGCTTTAAAACAGGGGTCCCCAACCCCCAGGCCGCAAACGGGTACCAATCCACAGCCTGTTATGAACCGGGCCGCACAGCAGGAGGTGAGCAGCCGGCGAGTGAGCAAAGCTTCATCTGCCGCTCCCCGCCGCTCCCCATCACTCCCCATCGCTCGCATTACTGCCTGAACCATCTCCCCACCCCCATCCATGAAAACAGTGTCTTCCATGAAACCGGTCCCTGGTGCAAAAAAGGTTGGGGACCAATGCTTTAAAATGATGAAAATAGTAATTTTTATGTTATTTTACCACATTTATACACATAAATTCACCACATTATACACATAAAATATGTATCTTTTACCATAATTTAAAAAGAGAAGCCAAGTGAAATAGAGAAGGTAGTTGAATTGAATTTATGAGAATTAATGTCCAATTTTCCTCATTGCGCTTAACGTTCTCCCAAAATATATATGTAAGCAAGTACTTCAGTGAGAACAGAGTGATGGGTACACATTTAGTTTTGAAAGTGCAAGCTCTTTTAGGTATAATCTCCCCTCATCTAGGATATAATCTCAAGTCTTCCATGAATATGTCCCTCAAGAAATCTCATTGATAAACTGGGGAAGTATGGTCCTGATCACACAACTATTAATATTAGGTGGGTGTAGCACTTACTTGAGGGTCTCATTCAGACAGGTTATCAATACCCGACTCGCTGCCTGCACGGGGAGTGAAGGGTTCCCTTAGAGGGACCCAGCAGTACCCAGGTTACCTGCAGACACACAGAATTTTCATTCTAAATAGTTTGCAAGTCCATCTTGCACCAACTTGACCCTGATATTTCCTACCTTTCCCATCTGGAAAAGTCTCCTTTGTTTTAAAAGAGTCTTGGCAAACGTGTTGTTAAGTGGAATAAAACGGAAGACATTTTTGAAACACAGACATTGTAAGCCTCAAATCAGGTGCGTAGGAGAAAGAAGTGGTACACTGGAAACGTGGCCACCAGTTTGGAGAGAGTGTTAGCACGAGTGTACAGCTACAAAGACCTGAGTAGCTAACGGTGGATTATTAACCTCCCAAACTCGATTCAATGTGACAGTGACACTTCACAGCACATTGCATCCAATCTCATTTGAAGCTGACAAAGATTGTTTCTGCTTTACATCTATTGGTTTATTAATGGTCTACAGCCTCTTAAGCAGATGCATATTCATTAGGTAGCCAGCTGTTAGGAGGTTCCCAGGTGTCAAATGTAACTCTGTCTTGGAACATTTTTTTTTTCCTTATCATGAAACAAAGTAATTGAGGCCTTATTAAAGAACCAGTTAATTACTAAAGCGATACCTTATGGCACCTTTTTATCATTCAAATTTGAGAGCTCTTGGGACATCTAAAAAATTTGGTAAAGAGACAATATTTAAGAGCCAACCTTTATTATATAATTATAAATATATAGAGACTGATATTGTATGTGTGGAGATATACATACACACCCTTCCATGTTGGAGAAATTAAAAGTAAGTGAAACGTTCCTAACAACTGAAAAATTTCAGCTACAATATCCTTTCCTTGGTTCATTATAGGAATTAGGTCCAAAGGACAACACTGATGAACCTAGTAAATTAATTAAAGCTACTTTAATATTTCTTTAATCTTAATCACTTTCCTATAAAAGATGACTTAAAAATGGGTTTTTGTGTAACTTATGCTTCAAACTTACTTCTTTTTAATTTAATTAATATATTTTTTATACAGCAGGTTCTTATTAGTTATCTATTTTATACATATTAGTTTATATGCATCAATCCCAATCTCCAATTCATCCTACCACCACCACCATCCCCCCATCCCCCCACTTCCCCCCTTTGCGTCCATACGTTTGTTCTCTACCTCTGTGTCTCTATTTCTGCCTTGCAGACTGGTCATCTGTACCATTTTTCTAGATTCCACATATATGCGTTAATGTACAATATTTATTTTTCTCCTTCTGACTTCACTCTGTATGACAGTTTCTGTGTCCATCCACATCTCTACAAATAACGCAATTTCATTCCATTTTTATGGCTGAGTAATATTCCACTGTATACATGTACCACATCTTCTTTATCCATTCGTCTGTTGATGGGCATTTAGGTTGCTTCCATGAGCTGGATATTGTAAATAGTGCTGCAATGAACATTGGGGTGCATGTGTCTTTTTGAATTATGGTTTTCTCTGGGTATATGCCCAGTAGTGGGATTGTTGGATCATATGGCAATTCTATTTTTAGTTTTTTAAGGAACCTCCATACTGTTCTCCATAGTGGCTGTATCAATTTACATTCCCACCAACAGTGCAAGTACATTCTCTTTTCTCCACACCCTCTCCAGCATTTGTTTTTTGTAGATTTTCTGATGATGGCCATTCTGACCAGTGTGAGGTGATACCTCACTGTAGTTTTGATTTGCATTTCTCTAATAATTAGTGATGTTGAGCAGCTTTTCATGTGCCTCTTGGCCATCTGTATGTCTTCTTTGGAGAAATGTCTATTTAGGTCTTCTGCTCATTTTTTGATTGGGTTGTTTGTTTTTTTTAATATTGAGCTGCGTGAGATGTTTATATATTTTGGAGATTAATCCTTTGTTGATTCGTCTGCAAATGTTTTCTCCCGTTCTGAGGGTTGTCTTTTTGTCTTGTTTATAGTTTCCTTTGCTGTGCAAAAGCTTTGAAGTTTCATTAGGTCCCATTTGTTTATTTTTGTTTTTATTGCCATTCCTCTAAGAGGTGGGTCAAAAAGGATCTTGCTGTGATTTTTGTCGAAGAGTGTTCTTCCTATGTTTTCCTCTACGAGTTTTATAGTGTCCAGTCTTGCATTTAGGTCTTTAATCTGTTTTGAGTTTATTTTTGTGTATGGTGTTAGGAAGTCTTCTAATTTCATTGTTTTACATGTAGCTGTCCAGTTTTCCCAGCACCACTTATTGAAGAGACTGTGTTTTCTCCATTGTATATCTTTGCTTCCTTTGTCATAGATTAGTTGACGATAGGTGAATGGGTTTATCTCTGGGCTTTCTATCCTGTTCCACTGATCTATATTTCTGTTTTTGTGCCAGTACCATATTGTCTTGATTACTGTAGCTTTGTAGTATAGTCTGAAGTCAGGGATTCCTCCAGCTCCGTTTTTTTCCTTCAAGATTGCTTTGGCTATTCAGGGTGTTTTGTGCTTCCATACAAATTTTAAGACTTTTTGTTCTAGTTCTGTAAAAAATGCTACTGGTAATTTGATAGGGATTGCATTGAATCTGTAGATTGCTTTGGGTAGTATAGTCATTTTCACAATGTTGATTCTTCCAATCCAAGAACATGGTATATCTCTCCATCTGTTTGTGTCATCTTTGATTTCTTTCATCAGTGTCTTATAGTTTTCTGAGTACAGGTCTTTTGTCTCCTTAGGTAGGTTTATTCCTAGGTATTTTATTCTTTTTGTTGCAGTGGTGAATGGGATTTTTTCCCTTAATTTCCTTTGCTGATATTTTGTTGCTACTATATAGGAATGCAAGAGATTTCTGTGCATTAATTTTGTATCCTGCTACTTTACCAAATTCATTGATTAGCTCTAGTAGTTTTCTAGTGGCATCTTTAGGATTCTCTATGTACAGTATCATGTCATCTGCAAACAGTGACAGTTTTCCTTCTTCTTTTCCAATTTGTATTCCTTTTATTTCTTTTTCTTCTCTGATTGCTGTGGCTAAGACTTCCAAAACTATGCTGAATAATAGTAGCAAGAGTGGACATCCTTGTCTTGTTCCTGATCTTAGAGGAAATGCTTTCAGTTTTTCACCACTGAGAATGATGTTTGCTGTGGGTTTGTCATATATGGCCTTTATTATGTTGAGGTAGGTTCCCTCTGTGCCTACTTTCTGGAGAGCTTTTATCATAAATGGGTGTTGAATTTTGTCAAAAGCTTTTACTGCATCTATTGAGCTGATCATATGGTTTTTATTCCTCAATTTGTTAATATGGTGTATCACATTGATGGATTTGCATATATTGAAGAAACCTTGCATCCCTGGGATAAACCCCACTTGATCATGGTGTATGACCCTTTTAATGTGTTGTTGGATTCTGTTTGCTAGTATATTGTTGAGGATTTTTGCATCTATATTCATGAGTGATATTGATCTGTAATTTTCTTTTTTTGCTGTGTTCTCATTTTGGTATCAGGGTGATGGTGGCCTCGTAGAATGAGTTTGGGAGTGTTCCTTCCTCTGCAATTTTTGGAAGAGTTTGATAAGGATGGGTGTTAGCTCTTCTCTAAATGTTTGATAGAATTCACCTGTGAAGCCCTCTGGTCCTGGACTTTTGTTTGTTGGAAGATTTTTAATCACAGTTTCAACTTCATTACTTGTGACTGGTCTGTTCATATTTTCTATTTCTTCCTGATTCAGTCTTCGAAGGTTATTATACCTTTCTAAGAATTTGTCCATTTCTTCCAGGTTGT